AACACAATAGTTGCTTTTATTGAATTCATTCAAAAATAAAAAGTGACGGTTAATTGAAATTTTAAAATGTCAATTTTTTTAAAAATTTGTATTTTAAATAAACAAATATAACAAAATATCGACCGATAAAAATAATTATCCATTATTATTATTATCATACACACTCCTTAGAAGTTCTCGAAGGATAATAAACCACGTAACATGAACATTTAGTAAGAACAGTTCACAACATATCATAATGACTAAATCAACAATCAACATACTAAACAGAAATAATTTATACATGCATATATACAAAGTAAATCAAGAAATATCCAAAAATTATATAAACAATTTAAAAAAAACTAGAAACCAGTCAACATTTAATGAATAAATAAATAGACATTATTAAAAAGATTGTTCAAAAAGGTACAATTTAAGGCGACGACGAGAATGAAATGTTTGTTTTGTTGGTGTGGTGTTGTGAAGCGAAAACAAACACATCACACAAAACTAGTAAGAAGTCGTAAGAATAGTAGTAGTAAGTCACCTACCTACAATTAAATTACTCTCAGGGCCCTAGCTTACTTATAATCATTAACTCAACTCACTTACCTACAAATTTGTATTTCTCGTTTTAGATGTTTCAATTATTTTATTTAACATATTTTAGCGTTTTTATTTTACTTGAAACTTTTTAACTAATGTTAAGCCCTAGCCTACCTACAATTGTTTAACTCATCTCAGTCCCTAACTTACCTATGAATTAAATTAAAGCCCGGTTCTCGGTAAAGAAAATATAAAGTTGAAGAGAAACATAGCAACAACGACACCGAATGAATGGATGTTGTGTATGTATGTGTTGTATTGATGTGTGTGTATGTAAATGTGCGGGCGCGCACTCTCCAGAAACTTCACTCACTACCGACGAACCTCCATTGCACCGACCATCATCTGACACGCATCGATGGAATGAATTTGACCGGATACTGAAAAATAAATTGAAAAAAAATTAATTCACTAAAATAAAAAACAAGCAATTGGAAAAAATAGGCAACTTATTTTTTTGAGATAACACTCAATCTTTGTTCAAATTCGAGTACTTTCAAAGGTACAATGAGACAAAAACAAATTTACCTTTAACATTATCTTCGATTTGTCATCGGAACGATCATCATGAGACCACCATCTGAAACGTGCTGACGCCCACCACAGCCCACCTCTCATCATTCTGTAGACAAGTTTTTATTAATTAGCAAAGTAGTAAATCAAGAAACAAAGGAACGAAGGAATAAATGATTAACTGAATGATTGAACGATTGGTTGAATGAATAAATTAACTAATTAATTAATCAACCAATGATTTAATGAATGAATAGAATGAATCAATGAATAAATTAATTGAGGAATAATTTGAAAGATAGTGATAAAATAAATGAATGAATGAGAAAAATAAAAAAAAGAAACTAAATCATACTTCAAAAACCGTCGTTGTTGTTATCTTCGAATTGTCATCGGAACGATCATCATGAGACCTCCATCTGAAACGTGCTGATGCCCACTACAGCCCACCTCTCATCATTCTGTAGACATTTTTTAATAGCGTATTAGTAAATCAAGGAACAAAGGAACGATCGAATAAATGATTAACTGAATGATTGAATAATTGGTTGAATGAATGAGTGAATGAATGAATTAATTAATAAATCAATGATTCAATTAATGAATAGAATGAATTAACGAATCAATTAATAGAAGAATAATTTAAAAGGTTGAGTGATAAAATGAACGAATGAGAAAAATAAAAAATGTAACTAAACCTTACTTCAAAAATCGTCGTTACTGTACTTTCCATTGCACCGACCACCACCATCTGGTCGGCACACAAAATACCATCCGAACTTCAGTGTCAGTCGAACAGCCAACGAGCTGATTCTTCCTACACCACCATCATCATATGTAAATCATCATGAGACCACCATCTAAAACGTGCTGGCTCCCGCCACTGCCCACCTCTCATCATTCTGTAAACAAATTTTTTTTATTTGCGTAGTAGTAAATGAATGTTAGAATCTTAGAAGCAAAAAAAATTTAATTATAAAATGAAAATAATGTCAAATAAATAAAATTTTAAACTAATAAAGTAAAATGTAAAAAAAACTTACCGTCGTCCATTCGACAAAGGCAGAATGTTTAATGCGGTCCGGTTCCTACGTTGTCCTCCAAAACTGGTGCCAGTCCTCCTCGAAATTGTTGTTGAAACACAGCCCGTGTTGATACAGAAAGATAGAGAAAGAGTAGATTCTCATCAGAAAGCTTAGCGGTGCCTGTATCTCAAATTGCTTAATAAAAATAATCCTATCTACCTATTCAATTACCTTAACTAATCTATATTAAATTGTTAATGGTACGATAGTCGAAAGTCCCCCTGCATTCTCCATCCTTGCACAGAGGTTTACCGACAGCCAGGGCACTGGATAGAAAACCATTGCCGTGCGGTTAGTAGACTATTGCCGTGCGGATAGTAAACCATTTGCCGTCCGGAAGCCGTGCGGGTAGTAGACTATGGTCGTGCCGCATATTAAATCATTACCGTGCAGATAGTAAACCATTGCCGTCCGGATAGTAAACCATTGCCGGTACACCACTGGCCACCAAGGCTTACCTCTGACAACAGACTTCAAAATTCAGAGTCTATCGGCTATCGTACCCTCAACCTACCTATTCATTACAATTAAGCCCTAGCTTACCTAAAATTACAAAACTCAAGAGCCCAATTCATTGGCCTTTCGGCACCCACCCCACCACCTACGTAATGCCTTGGGCTCCAACTTAGTAATAATAATATAAAACTTAAACCCTAAATCTATTAATGAGTGTGTGTTACAACGTAGCCTTAACTTACCTATTCATTACATTATGGCCCTAGCTTACCTAAAATTACAAAACTCAAGAGCCCAATTCATTGGCCTTTCGGCACCCACCCCACCACCTACGTAATGCCTTGGGCTCCAACCTAATAATAATAATGTGAAACTTAATAACTAACTTACCTATCGATACACTTACAGCGTTTATTTAATTTAAATTACAAGATTGTTCCTAGAATTAAATTATTGCTTTTAACTACCTATGAAATTAAATTACTCTCAACCTTAGTAATAATAAATTAAAATGTGTAATGGAAATAAAATAACGCTCAAATACTAATATGTGTTTATGTATGTATTTGTGTGTGTAATACGCTGATGCGTGTAATGTGGGTGCAAGAAAAAAATAGAAGCGATAAACTTACGCTGCCTACCTATTCAACTACATTTGTGTTGGATGCTTCCTATCTAACCTACCTACAATTAAAATTATGCCTATCTAACCTACCTATATAGCTACTTAATGTAATTGTGTGTATGTGCGTGTGAGCATTCCTACTTAACTTTAAATTACAGAGAAAAACAGAGAAAAAAGAATAAAACGTATCCCAGCCAGGCGTGTCTTCTTTGCCACTGAATGAACGAACGTAGCCTGACATCTTCCACGATGAATTCCTTTGGAAGCTTCGACCTGAATGAAATGGGAAAATCTTATTTATTTGACTAATTTAAACGAGAATAGAAAAACGAGCCGCGGTGAAACCGCGGCTCGTTTTTCTATTTTCCGTCAACTAGTTTTTCTATTCTCAGCCAACTGGCAAAAAAAGAACCGCAAAGAAACCGTAAAACGTACCCCAGCAGGGCGTGCATTTTTTGCCACCGAATGAACGAACGTAGCGTGACATCACAACCGTTCTGATCGTCCACGATGAACTCCTCTGGAAGCTTCAATCTGGATAAATGAACCTGAAAACCTAAATGAATGGAAAAATCTTATTTATTTAATTTAAATGAAAATAACCGCAAAGGAACCGACCGGTCGGCAAAGAAAAGAGAAAAGAAGAGCAATGAAAGATATCTATATAGGATTTATGCTCTATATAACTCTATATAACTCTATATAACTCTATATAACTCTATATAACTCTATATAACTCTATATAACTCTATATAACTCTATATAACTCTATATAACTCTATATAACTCTATATAACTCTATATAACTCTATATAACTCTATATAACTCTATATAACTCTATATAACTCTATATAACTCTATATAACTCTATATAACTCTATATAACTCTATATAACTCTATATAACTCTATATAACTCTATATAACTCTATATAACTCTATATAACTCTATATAACTCTATATAACTCTATATAACTCTATATAACTCTATATAACTCTATATAACTCTATATAACTCTATATAACTCTATATAACCATGCATACTACCACATTCAATCAATAAAAATTCCACTAAAACCAGGAACCACCGCGTACCTGCTGATTGTATGGTGTGAAACAAAACAAAAAATCACAAAACAAAAATCACACCACCAAGTAGAGTAAAAGAATAGGAGTTCCTAACCTACCTATGTAACTAAATTACCTTATGCCCTAGCCTACCTGTATAATAAATTAATTTTTACCTCACCTACCTATGCTTCATTAGCTTAACTCAAGACTCATGAAGAAAGAGAAAAAGAGTAAAACAGAACATAAAATACTACCACACAAACAAACATGATGTATGTATGTATGTATGTATGTATGAGCAACCGTTAAAGAACCCACCTAAAATTAAAAAAATACCACCTACATTCAAACCACCTACAAACATGCAAACTCTATATAACTCTATATAACTCTATATAACTCTATATAATAAAATAAATAAAAATAAAATAAATTTAAAAATAAAATAATTGAGATCAGGCAAACTGCTTCAAGCGAGGCAGAATGCTGATCTGATTTTCATGTTGTCTCAGCTCCTCTATTTATACTGGTTTCAACCATACATTCTCATCATTTCAATCATTCGCATCAGTAAAAAACTTATTTAATGTATATACTGCACTATTGTATAGTCTTAACCACAATGCTAACCGTACTAAATTGAAGTCATCGAACGAACGCCTTCGAAACTTTCTGGTTGGCTGGTTGAATCTGCTATATTGCTTTTCATATAAACATAATCTTATTAATTATTTGTATACATGGATTTCAGTCACTTTATATATATATATATATGTATATATATATATATATATATATATACATATACATATATAATAAAAACTCATTAAAAAAGCAACAGTCACAGTGGTATATATGTACGCACGCAGTTCAAATTCTTCGGGGAGAATTCAAAATAGTTTGAGACCACACCTTGCTTAACATCCGATTCCAAGCCGAGCCAAGCCAAGCTGAGCCAATATGCATAGATTTTTAGACACTTTTATGTTAATATTTTGCTCGTTATAACTATATATTTTATAAATTCATTATAAAAAACAACAGTAGCCATTACTATATATGTACGCACGCAGTTCAAATTTTTCGGGGAGAATTCAAAATAGTTTGAGACCACACCTTGCTTAACATCCGATTCCAAGCCGAGCCAAGCCAAGCTGAGCCAATATGCATAGATTTTTAGACGCTTTTATGTTAATATTTTGCTCGTTATAACTATATATTTTATAAATTCACTATAAAAAACAACAGTAGCCATTACTATATATGTACGCACGCAGTTCAAATTTTTCGGGGAGAATTCAAAATAGTTTGAGACCACACCTTGCTTAACATCCGATTCCAAGCCGAGCCAAGATGAGCCAATATGCATAGATTTTTAAGCGCTTTTATGTTAATATTTTGCTCGTTATAACTATATATTTTATAAATTCATTATAAAAAACAACAGTAGCCATTACTATATATGTACGCACGCAGTTCAAATTTTTCGGGGAGAATTCAAAGTAGTTTGAGACCACACCTTGCTTAACATCCGATTCCAAGCCGAGCCAAGATGAGCCAATATGCATAGATTTTTAAGCGCTTTTATGTTAATATTTTGCTCGTTATAACTATATATTTTATAAATTCATTATAAAAAACAACAGTAGCCATTACTATATATGTACGCACGCAGTTCAAATTTTTCGGGGAGAATTTAAAATAGTTTGAGACCACACCTTGCTTAACATCCGATTCCAAGCCGAACCAAGGCAAGCTGATCCAATATGTGTAGATTTATAAGCGCTTTTATATTAAAATTTTGCTCGCTTTTTAAACGAATATCCCAATATAACAAATTCTCCATCCTATTTTAACTTTCTTTGATGCTTTTTAATCAGTCAGGTCACAAAAATCATTATCGATATCGCAATGAAATCTATTTGAAATTTTTTTTTAATTATTGATAAAATTTTTAAATTGTTGATAAAAATAACTAGTATATATAGTATAGTAAAACGTTTAAAATATTCTGAGAGAATTCAAAATAATTTGGGACTACACCATAACACAATTGTACAATTTGAATGTGTAAATACAACATTATAAATGTATTATAACTACGTGTATATCATGAAATAATCCTACATGGCGGGACATTTGAAGTCATTTAAAACCTAAATTCACTTTTAGCTATCTTTTGTTGTTGAATTTTATAAAAATAATTTTGCCTAATTAATTTTAATTAGTTAAGTTGGAATTTTAGTTTTAATGAAAGATTTTATCATTTAAACTCCTTTTTATGTTTCAAAATAAGTACTCCGGATAAAAATTAAAATGGTTTTTGTGTCCGATTTCAAGCAGGAATTTTATGATGTAGTTCAAAACCAGGTGATCTGTCCACTTTCATTTTTTAAATCAAATTTTCATCTTAAATTTTTTATAGTTGAAAATGTTTTTTTGATTAAATAATTTTGAAAAATAAAATTGAAAATAAATCAATAGTAATGAGATTTACATTTATGGCATAATAAATTGATGCATGAATTCACTCATAATAATTCACCTTTCAATTCATTTCACTTGTAATTTTATCAGTGTTTTTAAATTTCAAAATCAAATACCTTTTTAAAATTTTTAATACAAAATTAAAATTATAAATATTAAATAAATAATAAAGTTCATAATTTTCCATTTTAAAATAGAGAATCTTAGTCCTAGTGGCATTAGATGTCGATGCGCTCTGTGCTTGTAAAATTCTACAAGTAAAAATTTATTCTTTATAGTATAAAAAATATTATTATTATTATTTCATACACTTTTTAGTTTAATAGTTCTCTGGAGATAGTAATTCACCTTATATATTGTGTTATATGTTATGTTTTATCTTTTGTTGTGTTATGTATGAATGCAACATTATTTGTAGTTAGGTAAAGTTGTACATTTTGCCCCCATTTTAAGTTTAGAATAGAATTAGTGTTGGGTGTTTCAGACTTGTCTATATTCTAAATATAATGGGGCTAATCACAATTAAGTTATATTTGATGTATAATATGTTGCTTTTTATTGTAATGTGGTTGTGTTTTAGATTATAAATTTGAATGAATGACTATTTTTACTTATTAATAAGTTCTTAATTATATTTCAAAAAAATAATTTTAATTTGATAATAATAAAATTTTTCATCTCAGTATCTATTTCAATGCGATCACATCTTGTACACGATAGTGCCTGTCAGCACGAAGCAAGAGTTGGAAAGAGCTTGTATCGACTGCTTCGAAACTGTTAGCTATCTCTGATTGGCTGATTGATTGGTGAAGGGTTTATCGGTTAAATGATTGATTGGGTGCTTGGTTGGTTGGTTGGTTGGTTGGTTGATTGAATGAATTAAATTGAGAGAGAAAGAGAGAGAAAGAGTGTGTATCAACTGCTTTATAGCTGTAAGCAATTTTTGGTTTGTTGGTTGGTTGGTTGTGTGGTTGGTTGGTTTGTAAAGTAGATTTGATAAATATTTTAGCTGATGATTGGTAATCCATATTCATATCAATCAATTCATTGATTGATAGGTTGGTTAGTTGATTAAGCAAATTATTGGCTAATTTGTTGATTTATATGTTGACTGACTGGCTGGCTGGCTGACTGACTGATTGTATGAGTGAATGAATGAACGAGTGAATGAATTTGTTATGCTTCATTTCAGATGCAATATGTTGTTTTAATAAACTGCGGGGCAACGATAGACATCATCGACATGATTCAACCCCCTTCCCATATGGTCTTTTTTATTTGTGATAGGTTGGTTAATTGGTTGGTTGGTTGAGTGAAGAGTGTGTGATTGAATGATTGAATGATTGATTGATTGATTGATTGATTGATTGATTGATTGATTGATTGATTGGATGAGAGAGAGATTGAATTGATAAGTGATTCAATGATTGATAGATTGAATGAATCATTAGTTGAGTGAATGAATGAATGTTTGAATTTACTTCAAACTATAATTACTGATTGAATAAATCAGTAATTGAGTGATTGATTGATTGTTTGGTAGGGTAAATTAGAGATTGTTTGAATGGCTAATTAACAGTTGATCAATTGTTGATTGAGTCACCAGCCAACCAATCTACCCAATAATCATTCAATCATGTAACCAAGTTATCAATCAACCAATCAATCAACCCATCAATCATCTTATCAAGTTATCAATCAACCAATCAATCAACCACCAATCATCTAACCAAGTTATCAATCAACCTATCAATCAAGTAACCAAGTTATCAATCAACCAATCAATCAACCCACCAATCACGTGATCAGTCACAGGCCGATAGACGTACATAATGTGTACAACCAAGTCCAAGTGAAGCTGCTGATGAAGGAAAAGGAAGTGGATGGTATCCCGGCTTTCAACGATATCTTTCGGGAGGATGATGAAGATGACGATGATGAGGTGACTGTTAAATCTCCAGTCATCTGATGATGATGATTACTATTTTCAATCCAGTCACGTGATGATAATGATGATGAGGATGATGATTACTATTTTAAATCCAGTCAGGTGACGACGACGACGATGATGATGGTGATCGACGAACGAAAGAACCTTCTGGAAAGAGGAGAAGATTTGACGAAGATGCCCTCGAGAGGAAGAGAGAGTTGAGGCTGTGGATGCAGAATAGGTCATAATTACTTCATAATTAATATTTTATTATTATTATTTTATTAGTCAGTTAACATAAATTTGCATAAATTATGTTAACAAGCAAATTCTGATTTTTTTTCCCCTCTCATTCATCCAACCAATGAACAGGCATAAAGTTTTGTTCGACTACTCGGAGTTCACGACCTGGGGCTCGTCTGTAAGCCGATTGGATGCTTTTTAGAATCATTAATTAATTTGTCTATTCATTATTTTATTATAATTAGATAAAATTGATAATTTCGTTTTATTCATTACGTTGTGCTAATTAATGAAAAATTTGCATTTGAATATTAATAAGTTAATTAGGTGGTTAGATAGTTAAATTTTTGCGCATATTAATTGCTTAGCTAATAAAACATTTGCATATTAATCACTCAACTGATTAATATTCATGTACACCAGTCGGCACTTCTCATGTATGAGCTGTCTTGGAAGTTATCAAAAGAGACCAATGACTTGCTATGGTTCGTGGTTGTTATCATCATCATCATTACCATCATCATCGTAACTATCATCATCATCGTCGTCATCATCAGTATCTTCATCGTCATCATTATCACCACCACCGGTCGCCAGGCTAGCAATCATAGGAGTCACAGAGCAGTTCATAATGAACAAGATAGATAGGGATATGTTCATTGATAGTATATCATTACTACAGCCACATGTATCTAGGCTTAATCAGAGGTTGGTGTTTATTATTATTATCATTATTGTTTTATTATTGTTATTATTATTCTTTATTACTTCTAATCATTTGTTAGAGTCACATTCTTCATTTTTTTTTACTCAAAAATTCAGAATAACTCCTCTGACGTCATCGCAGTCCTCAGACTCGACAGCCAATCAGAATGGTGGCGCAACGTCAATCAATCAAATGCGGTTGGTCTTCACGCAAGAGCCCCAGCTGATACTCTATCGCCATTGGTCGATATTTGAAAGCATCGTCCACTCGCGTTACACTGCTTGTAAGTTCGTCGTTTGGTCTCTTAGGGGTAAAAAAAGACTTCACGAGTTTCTTGCTGATATGGGGTTAGTTTTACTATATTTTGTTATTAATTATTATTATTATTAATATTATTATTATTATTGTGACCTACTTTCTCAGCCTACCATTGGTCCAGTGCAGGCAGAAATATCAATGCATGGACTCTAAATTTAGGTCAAACTTGGAAGATGTTATATCTAAACATGCCGAGAAATATGGGTCGGTTGATTGGTTGGCTGATTGATTGATTGAATGATTGATTGATTAGTAGTTAGCTGATTGATTAATTAATTTATTGATGAATTATTTGATTCATTGGCTAATCGGTTGGTTTGTTTGTTGGCTAGTTGATTGGATGGATGGATGGCTGGTTGATTGGATGGATGGCTAGTTAATTGGCTGGTTTGTTGATTGATTGAATTAAATTGAATTGAACCACAGAATGTTGGAACAAGACTTGTTCCTCCCGACTTTTCAATGCCACTACGGTTTCAAGTGCAAGTACAGTGCATCCGATGTTGTATACGCCTGCCATGCTTTATTGGTTGATGTCGAGGTCGGTTGGTTGGCTGATTGGTTGGTTGGCTGATTGGTTGTCTGGCTGGTTGGCTGATTGATTGGTTGGTTGGTTGGCTGAATGGTTGGTTGATTGGCTGGTTGATTGATTGGTTGGCTGGTTGATTGATTGGTTGGCTGGTTGATTGATAGATTGCTTTGAAATGTTCATTTACAAGGTAATTGAGGAATGGAATGAAAGAACGAATGTTTGAATGGATGGAAGAACGAATGAACGAATAAACAAACAGATGAATGAATGAATGAATGAACAATTGAATGAATGATTTATAATTGAATTATAACGTCATATGAACTTTGAACTTGACGCAGGATAATCAAGATGACCAGCTATTATCGTCGAACTTCTTACAAGCCCTGGATGCTCTCAAAAGGTTCATTCATTTTTTGTGTCATTCATTCATTCATTTTTGCGTCATTCAGTCATTCATTCTTGTGCCATTCATTTGTTTAGTAATTCAACCAATCAAACATTTCTTACATTCATGCGTTCAATCAATCATTCACACTTTCGTTCAAATATTTTTTCCATTCATCTGTTCACTTAACCACTCATTCATTCAATTCATTTACTCATTCACATGCATGCACGCAGAACTCAATCAGACGACCTTGAGACCGGCATCGAAAAGTTCAAAGGTCAAACGAGAATTCTCGTGGCCCAAGTTCAAAGTTTTCTCGATATGAACCAAGTCATATCGGCTGGTCCGTTCCTCTACACATTCGTTCAGCAGGTTATGATGACGATGATGTATTCATTCATTTGTAAATTCAATCATTCATTTATTTTTCATTTCATTCTTTCATTCATTTTTTCATTCAATTACTCCCTCATTCAGTCAACCAATGATTCAAACCTCTTCACAAGACCAAGTTGTCTATATCAGCTTGCTCAGTTCACACTGGAAGCATATTGCGCCAATGTTAGTGGATGGATGGATGGATGATTGGATGGATGAGTGAATGAATAACTGGATAGATGAATCGATGGGTAGATAGATAGGTTATAAATGATTGAATAAGTGAGTGGGGTGAATGAATGAATAAGTGATTCAAAGAAGGAAAGCTTATTCCCTCAATGTCGAAATGTTATGATGGATAAAAATGAATGAATTGATAAGTAAATGGTTAAATGAATTAATGGTTGAATGAATGAATGAATTAATGGTTGAATGAATGAATGAGTGAATGATTTGAATCATTAGCGCCATCTCCGCTAACTCAACTCTTGGCAGACACGCAGTAAAAAGGCCAAATCCCTGCCCCTGATACTGGGAACAAAGTTGAAAGATCAAGACTCGCTTCTACTAGTCGGAATACCTCCACTACTTGATAAATCGCACAAAAAGTTTGTCAAATTATTATTTTTTTTGTTCTTATTAAGATTATCAGTGATAATTATTATAATTATACTGATAACTATATTATCATTATTATTTATATTGTTAATTATTACAATCAGTTGTTTTGGCAAGGCATTTGAACAAGCAGCCATCAGCTCAAATTCTAAAGTTTCTCAAAGTTACTTCGAATCAGCCGGTGAGTAGTATCCTTTTTTTTTACAAATCCCTTAGATATGTATCTTCTAGATTTCTCGAAAGTAACTACAAGAGCCACACACAGCGTGTAAGTAGGTGCACATGGATCAATGCATCACATAGCACACTTGATAGAGGCTGGATTGACTTTGCATTTGAATCCAGTCACTGCGACAACATCGCCAGGGCACCTTAAACAATACACCATCACTCGAATGCTCTTTAAATTTAATAATGCGTTTGATACTAATGATTTGAGGTATTTTTCAAAAAAAAAATTGTTTTTGTTTCATTTCAGTACTTGAACTGAAGACAGAAGACAAGAGCAAGTTCTTCGATACCTTAATAAGCTTACTCCAAGATTGATAAACTATTAACTCTTATTTATTGATATAGAATGAATTGTGTGTGTGTGTGTGTGTGTGTGTGTGTGTGTGTGCGTGTGGGCATGCAAGTGTGTATACATACTCTCTATTTACGCTGCTTGATTGTTAATACTATTATCTTTACAGTTTAATGTGCGTTATATATTTATTGTTCGTGTGAGATTTCCGAGTGGGATTTTATGTCGAAGTTTTATGAAATACTAATCAATCAGATCATCGTTCAAAATATATATATTCAAGTAATTTTTCGTTAAACGTCTGATGGCAATGCCAATCATTCAAATTTTATCGTTAGGATGGTTTTGTGTTTTGTACATCTTCTATGCTTGGAATTAGTGTTACTGAACCTACACTTCTAAACTTAATTCCCGCGTTAATTGATCTTCTCATTTTATCCTCTTGATTTTATCGGTTTCTTGTTAAATTAAAAAATTGATTTCATGTATCAGAGGGTTTGTTTTGTTACTGAATAAAAGCGTGATCTATATCAACCTAGTCTAATCCGCTGGTCTTACAGCAGCTGACTAAATCTAAGATATCAAATGTTAATTCGTTAGACAAGCTGGAAGTGCAGACAGATGCCGCCCATTTAATATAAATCCAAACATTGAAATAATTTCACCATTGTCAGTGGTGCAAAAGCAAGAATTTGTCTATAGACATGTCTCGTAGGCAACTTGAGACGTCTCGGATATCAGAGCTGGATATATGCTTAAGGACAAGCTAGCCTATATCTCGGATACAAATGTCACATTCTACATCTCTAGTGAGCATGAAAAAGTATCTAGAATGAAATTTCATATTCTATTATATTTGTAGCTCTTGTGAGCTTTATTAAATTTTCATCAGAAAGAAAAAAGACAGCACTAATCAACTTTTCGTTTATTTAAAGAAAAATTTGACCATCAATTTTCAGGATATGTGTATCAAGCAGCATATCGCAAAACTGTCACTCAAATATATAACAGCATAATCAACATCGACCAATGATGGCAGACAATATTTAGACACTGTCCACAACAGGAGGTTCGTAGTTGCCTGGTCTGTCAATTCTCTCGCCACCCTCAGTTGTCGTACCCTTGCCCGTGCCTTCTCCGTGCAGTTCAAGTAACTTGCCCACTGTCAGATAGATAGTTAACTTATTAATTTTGTTTATATTTACTCTACTTTATGTATATTTTTAGACTTTTAGTGTTAGAAATGAGATGAATTATACTCAAAACTAAAAAGTAATGTGGCTTGAATTCAAACGAGATACTGACGATCAAACTTTGGCTTCTTGAGGATTTTAACTTTCCTGACGTAGACATCGTGGAGTGGGTAGATACCCTGGCAGTATTTCTCAATGTCCTTTCCAATGCTGTCTGGGATCCTGTTCAGTGTGCATGTGTGTATGTGTGCGCGTGTATCCAATTGTGTGCATTAAAAAAACTAATGAAATGACTACAAATCATCAGTTTGGTAAACTTTTGATAACTAAAAAGTTTAATTATGACTGAGGTGAGATTTAATGGTTAATGAATATAAATCATACAAAGCTTAATCATAAAACAAAATGAACAAACAACTCACAATTTGTTAACAACATCCTTCAAGTCACTGGCGACCACTTCTCTCAACATCACCTCAACCATCTTCTTCCTAATTGCCCTAACTTGGGTGCTCTGTGCATACGAGGTCTTCTTCAGCTGGTTCTGTCTCTTTGTGGTGAATCCGATGCAGAAGAGTCTCAGGAGATAGCCATCAGTTGTCTTCACATCAACATGTGCTTCGATCAGGGTCTGTTGTTAAGATTGTTAATTAATGTTACATCTAAGATATAAATTTTTAGATTAAATTTTCTTGAAGCAAAAAACAACTAAAAGTTTATCTTTGTGTTAAATTTTACCCTTTAAAACATTTTGATAATTAATTGGCTTAAATATAAACTTTCAAAAAGAGTTTTCAACAATTGCAAACTATTAAATACAAAATAAAAAAATTTGAACTGACCTGCCACTTTTTGACCATGGACCTCAGCTTGTCAGTGGTCATGTCCATGCCATGGAAGTTGGTGAGAACGTGACGACCTTGAACTTCCTCGGACATCAATTTGAACTTACGGAAGGTAATCTCGTCGTTCTGCAAATCAGCCAACGAGACTTCAAAAACACGTCCCTTCAAGCCATCAGAAGCAATTTCTAGATAAGGGTGTATTCATCAAAAAACCTCTACAAGATGATCAATTAAGGATTAATAACTGCAAAATAAGAAAAACAGACAGATGGTAACATTTTTTAAATTAATCACTTGCACTATTTTATTCTCCATTTTTATTCTTTGTAGATCGTAAAAATTAAAATTTCTCGAATACTTACTGGTTCCGACGGTTCTAGAAACAATGGTCTTGCCGATGTTTCTGTTATTGAACATGGATGGGGCCTTCACATCGTACCAATCCTTCTTTGAGAATGGATCGACGCTGGATAAATTTGAAAACAAAAATTAGTTTCTGCAGTTCTAAGGTATGCGATTACAAATCGAAACATGCTTTTTTGAATGTGAATTTTCAATAGAATATTGATCAATAGAAACGTGCACGACAAATTTGTTGTAGGTGATTTTTAAATCTATCCACATCCAGCTAATCGTTAATCAATAAAATAAAAAAAATATCTCTAAAAAACAAAAATTGATTAAATTTGTTGAAAAAATAAATTTCGTTATCTGACATCTTCTTTTTGCCTCCTTTTTTTCCTCCTTTTGACAGGCGCTTATTCTTGCCTACAGCCATCTTGATTGAATATCTAAAAAAGGAAGTTTGTGTTTACTCGGTGCTGGAAGGAAACTTAAGTTAACAATAAATGTTATAGCGCTTCATTTCATATTAATTGCAAAAACAATATATATTCGTAATGGGTTCAAACTGACGAGTGTGTGTGTGTGTGTGTGTGTGTGTGTGTGTGTGTGTGTGTGTGTGTGTGTGTGTTTGATTATTTATGCATATTTGTGTGTGTGTGTGTGTTTGATTATTTATGCATATTTGTGTGTGTGTCTTTTATTTCATTCATACAAATTTCACTATTTTGTCGTGAAATTTAGCATCTATTGGCAGAAACATGCGACTGAGTGGGACAGGCAGCAGACTATCCATTCCATGATATAAAAACTATTCTGAATGGAATGGATAGGACAAAGCAGAATAAAAGCATTTAGCGCAGGACAGAGCAGAATAAAAGAACTTTGCACACACCGAGAATTGTTAAACCTCAAAATATTCCTATAATTTTAATAAATTGGATAATAATTACAAAATTACTGTTAGAAATGTTGAAAAGCTCAATCGTAAACTTTGAAGAGCTGAAAATTCGGTAGGTTTTATCAAATATTTAATCAGAATGAATATACTCTTCACTGTACAATTGTACATACATTATTTCTACATATACTCTTCACTGTACAATTGTACATACATTATTTCTACATGTACCATCCATATAGATATATAGGGTTATAATAACGGTTAATAATAATAATATAAACATTTACATAGAGCCAATTATAGTGAATTTGTTTCAGAAAGGTTGCGGTTTAGTTTTAAAATGATAATTTCTATTCTCTCTCGTAAGAGCTCATTGACAAGAGATAACACAGTAATTGTACAATACACCTACACAGTGTGTCTGTGTTTGTGTGTGTGTGCGTGTGTAGGTGTGTAAGTGTGTGTGCGTGTGTGTGTGCGCGATTATACTTTAAGCTTATTTAATGTCAAGTATCTACTGCTATCTATCAACATATAGGTGCGTTCAAAAGTTTTTTGATAAGAACTTCGATAAGATAAGAAAAGAACTTTGGAACGCAGAGTATGAACATTCCCAGGCCAAATTCGCCAACGTCATTTATTAATTAAGGCGTTATAAAAACTCGTCATATTTTTACCTGGTATGGTGATTAATTATAAATTATTTGGAAGATAATACAGAAGATGGCATATTTTATTTTTCCTGGCAAAACTGATGTACATTGTATTCGTAGCATACAGGAATGCTACTAAATTTTTAGATTTTCGTTCTTTATGTCATTAAGCTCCAAGCATGTACCACCACAAAAGTGTATGAATTTTATAAAAAGTTTACAGCGAAATGAATAAAATCGAATTAAACAATCACACTCGCTACAATTATTTAGCCTTCCTGGAAAACTTTACTGGCCATCCATCAAAAAATCATTAACTCAACTGTGAGTTAATGAAATGCTCCCATTGGGTTGTATTCACGTTTTGAAATAGCTTAGTGAAAACCAGAGCGATAACGCTCGATAAAGTGATAATGCTTTAGTTGTGTTTTTATCAATTCTTCGATGAACGAATATGCTATTCACTCACATGACTTATGACATTTCATTTGGTCTGTTAATGCGTTTGATACCGAATTAGGCATGACAGGTGCGATGTTCTGCAACAAAGAATGGCACGAGTATGCATGGGTGTATATAATTATACACCTTGCAGGTCTCAGTTTTAGAGGAAATTTTCGTTTATTTTTTAAATATTTTTTACTTTAAGTTATTGGAAAATGTAGGCTGCTGATGCTTCTGTAAAAGTGTGATTGACTGGATGTCCAGAGAAAACCAACCGGTTCTGAAGAAATGAATCAACTCGATTTTGAGATAATGGAGATAATCTATATTTCTTTCTTATATGAATAGAACCTGCATCAACTTTTTAAATACACTTTCGCACATAGACACACACACACACACTTCCACTCACATACACACTCACACACACACTTTCAATCACACGCACAATGTAGATAAATATACAACATAATTATAAATATATTTCAGGCATTAGATCAGTCAGTGGGTATGATTTTTATGTTGTGTTGCCCTTAACGACCATTTAAAATTTCCTTGCTTATTCACACACACACTCTCTCTTTCTCTCTCTTTCTCTCTCTCTCTCTTTTTCTCTCTCTCTCTCTTTCTCTCTCTCTCTCTTTCTTTCTCTCTCTCTCTATCACGTGGTTGTTGTGTCGGTGTATATATATAGCTCGGCAGTGTATTTGAGGCCTTATGTAGACATTAAGTATCAGTGAGACTGAATTGAAATAACATTGTCAAGTCGCCATGGATCACAACGGTAATCGAGGTACTTCATTTTTTTTTCATTTTACTGACAAGAATTATTTTTAAAACTAATTGTTTTGAAATTTTCATTGCGAAAATGTTATTAAAAGTTATTAAAAAAAGCAATTATCTTCGACATTACACACATACTTACAAACAAACACACACAAAAACAAGCAAACACACACAAACAAACAAACAAACACACACACACAAACAAACAAGTAAACACACGCGCGCACCAAGAAGCGCTCACACACAAACACAGAGTTTTTCCTAACACTCCTAAGTTCGCGACTCAAGCCAGCCTTCCCAGGTTCAACTTCGCGATCAGTCGGACGAAGATTCGGACAATGACGGTTCGAGTGTATGTAGCAGGTGTTGTTCATTTCTGCTATTCGTGATGTCAATACTGCTTGTCATTATCTTGTTCCCATTCTCCATGCTATTTACCGTCAAGGTGTTATCTTATTGTCTCCCATTTTTCAAAAAAATTAGTTTTAATCATTTTAGCCATTTATTCCATCGGTTTGGATAACATCATGAATCATAGTTGATAAGTAGATCAGTAGTTTTACATTGATGTGTTTGGTTACGGTAGTTTATTTTGAGCAATTTTCCCTCCAACTGTCATTGTTTAGATAATCTACTACCCGCAATGAAAAAAAAAATTAAAATCATAATTGATGCCAATTGTAGGGTAACCTGACTAATTACAAATATTGCTTGAAGCTGATTTAATAATTATCTGATGAAACTACGCTATGAGCCGACATGTTTTGTTCAATTTGATTGGATTTAATGGACAGAATGATTTGATTTGGTTTGATTTGATATGATTTGATATGATTTGGTTGGATTTGATTTGATATGATTTGATTTGGTTTGTTTTGATATGATTTGATTTGGTTTGATTTGATATAATTTGATTTGATTTGGTTTGATTTGATATGATTTGATTTGATTTGATATGATTTGATTTGATAGGTGGTTCAGCAATACGAGAGAGCTGTCATATTCAGATTGGGGAAATTGCTATCTGGCGGAGCCAAAGGCCCAGGTAGGGCAGAATTTTTATTTTTGCTAAATACTAATAGTGGTGTTAGGTTTGTTACAGCGACTGGGTACGAATGCAAGGATTCCCGTCAATAACATGTAATGTGCATGGATTCATCGGATATGCATGGATTCACTCGGTGAATGCATGATTCACTCGGATTCACACGTTTTGTGCTACGCGTTTGTGTGTTGTTTGAGTTCTCTAAGAATTAATAAAGATATGATAAAAATAATAATCTTTTTTATCTTTCTCTATCTTTTTAAAGTAATTTAATAAGACGTTATAATACTGGCGCTAAAGTGTCCATCTGTATATATGTATATAATAGTATCATTTTGTTTTTCCCAATAATTAGTAAATAATTTCCCAAAGAATTAATAAAGATATGATAAAAATAATAATCTTTTTTATCTTTCTCTATCTTTTTAAAGTAATTTTATAAGACGTTATAATACTGGCGTTAAAGTGTCCATCTGTATATATGTATATAATAGTATCATTTTGTTTTTCCCAATAATTTTCTTTCAAAATTAACCAAATTGACCAAAACCAATTTCTTAAAGTTCCATCCATAAACAATGAAACTGATTAAGTTTATTGCGATGTGAGTTTTGGAAATTTTGGTCTCACAATTTAGGAAATCTTTGTTTCAAATTGTTAGGATTATTTTTCATCCTTCCCGGTGTTGACGAATACACAAAAGTTGATTTGAGGACCGTCTCGTACAATATTCCGCCACAAGAGGTTTGTTCAGTCATTTGTTTGTCAGTTTTTGTAAAGTTTGTTTGTAATTTTTGTAAAGTTTTTTAGTATTTTTTCGAAATTTTTTAGAGACAATAGAACTTCTGATCATTATGCTGAAACAGCCGTTAATAACTAAAAAGTATTAAAACACTTGTCTCGCTTAGCATAGTAGACAACACCTCTTCAGGCAACCTTGTGATATTATTTCTCGTAGAATTGTTGTCGCAAAATGAATTTCGTTCCGTTTCGTCTTATTTCGAATTTTTTATTTCTATAACGGTACTGATAAAAGGATAGGATATGTTTGTGTTCGACAGCTTGAAATAGTATTTAATTTATATTTTACGAAGGTTCTGACTAGAGATTCAGTGACAATTGCAGTGGACGCCGTCGTTTTCTACCGGGTTAACAACGCGACAGATTCGGTATAGGGTTCAAACAATTTTCGAGAAATTTTTAGCCGAAACTTTTCATAAATTAACGTTTAATTATAAAGCAGCTTTTTTTATTTCAAAATTTTGAAAAACAATCCACAAACCTACGTACGAAGAACAAAACAGAGTTAACTAAATAAAAAACATTAAAGGTGAACAATGTCACAGACGTCAAATCATCAACCCAACTTTTGGCTCAAACGACCCTTCGCAACATACTTGGGACCAAGAGCCTATCTCAAATTTTAACCGAACGAGACTCAATTTCTCACGCTATTCAGGTGAGTCCCGACACATAACACTATATTTGTGAACGTTATAACTATATCAATTTCAGACTTTCTATAGCATTATCAATTTTAGACAAGGAAGGAATGGCGATCTAAGCGTTATCTTTGCTTGATATTATATATTTTCAGACTCTATCGTTCATTCAGGCAGTTGAGGCCCTGAAAGTAGAAAATAAGGCTAGACAATTTTGAGTTGTACGCGCTGCGTTTTTACGTGTGTAACGTGTCATGCCATGTTCATTCTAAATGTGAAATTCAAGAAGTTTTCAAGAAGAAGATTGATTAGAAAGTTGATTTGATTCATCTGTTGCAATTTGTGGTTAAAATCCTAATTTGTAAATTGTAGTAATTGGGATATATGAGAATAGAACTTATTTGTGAAATGTGAATAACTTGCAGGAGCATTTAGAAGAGGCCTCCAGGAGGTGGGGTGTTATGGTTGAAAGAGTGGAAATGTTCGTTGAACTATATTTCAAAATCTTTTAATTTTCATTTTAAATTCTGATATTCAAAATCAAATTCGATTAAATAAACTTTAAAACTTATAATTTATCTAAAATTCCAATTTTACAAAAACCATTCTTTAGCCTGAAATCCTCTACGACATAATTGCTTAACGGCTAGAGCTCCTTGCTCCGAATTGTTGTTGCCTGGTTCGATCGTAAAATGATACCCTGTATCATACGCTAAACTATATGATGATGTATCTATTTCACACATATGCATTCGTTTAACATTGACGAAATGTTCATTTAATGTTCAAAGAAATTAAAATTTTTAAAATTATTACAGAAAAGACGTGTCGCTTCCACAATCCATGCAGCGCTCAATGGCAGCAGAAGCTGAAGCCACAAGGAATGCGAAAGCTAAGGTAGGATGATTTGACAATTATGACATAAGATAATTTTTTATACATAAGCTGAAGCCACAAGGAATGCGAAAGCTAAGGTAGGATGATTTGACAATTATGACATAAGATAATTTTTTTAAATTAATTAATTAATTTTAAAAACAAATTAAAATTTAAACAATTTAATTCATAATTTCAATTGTTTTTATCGTTTTGTAGCAAATGTGTATCATCATTCAAAGTTAACTTTATGTTGGCTATCACGAAATAATGTTGATAAATTGACAACGAACCATAGGTGAAGAAATAGATAAATTTGTCTGTTTCAGACAAATAAAATAAAAAAAAATAGAAAAAAAAATTGTTTAGTTATTTAGTTAATTCCGATTATATTTTTAAAAATCTCTGAAGATAATAGCTGCAGAAGGCGAGGAGCAGGCGTCACTTTCCCTAAAAAATGCCGCGGACATTTTGAGTAAATCTCCAGCTGCCCTGCAAATAAGGTGGAATTATTCAGTAATTATATTTTAAATTAAATATTTATATGAATATTTATTATTAAATTAAATACGGTTTAGTGTTATAATTTTCTTTGATTGTGAAAGAGTTTCATATGAGGAAAGATTGATGAGATGTGGACTGACAACTTTAGACAAACCTAGGACTAGAGGAGATCTGATTCAGGCGTACAAAATCATAACGAATAAAGATTAGATAGATTCATCCCTAATCTTCCAACTTACAGAAAGTAGTAACACAAGAGGGTACCAGTACAAGCTTCTCAAAGAAAGGATAGGTGCAATAAAAAAAAGATATTTCAGCTCAAGAGTAATTAAACATTGGAATAAACTGGACAAAAAAAACTGTAACAGCATCTACAGTCAAAGTACTCGAAAGATTGGGATTTTAAATCCATATTATTAGTCAAAATCGATCCGGTGGTTCTCACACAGAGATATCTACTGAACCACTATAATCCTTGTTATGCTATGATATGTTTTTAATTTTATTCATTTATTATTAGATAGGTAAGATACAAATCCTGCTTGCCTATAAAAAAAGTTATCACTTTAGTAAAATCTGTCCCGTTGAAATTATTACTATGTAGGATGGTATTTTATACAATCCCTTGCCCTATCGTATTCTTTCCATTAACTTTACCGGAAGCAGATGCAACAATGACGTCACCAAAACTGGTTTTAAGAGGGGACTGGCAGGGGTATTCCCCGGAGCCTTTACAACAAAGTTTAAAAATGTCGATAATGTCAGCAAATGTTAGGTTTTTCCTCTAAGCATATTATTCCCACTTTCACCGAAAATTCACGTGAAAAATGCCGGTTATAATAGAAAATCTTTTGGAAAAAGTAGAATAAGCATAGGCAAAAAATGGTTTTGAACTTTTTGAAAAATCATTTTGATTTTAAAAATAAATAATTAGAGGCCTACTTTGTCGTTATTTCAGGGCATCCAAACCTCTAAATCCGGCCCTAGACACTCCAAATCATTGAATTATATAATTCCATGCTCTGAATGCATTAAAATTGGTGCAGGGAACTTCAATATCGCCATATATACAACATATGAAGTACAATAATTACGCGTTTAACATATGTTTACAAAGCTCAACATTCAGGGCAATTATTCACTATAATTCAATTCATACTTGTCAGGTAAAGTAGTATAGTTCAATTCCTAAGGGTAACTCAACGGATATTGAAATTTATTAATGGCTCTATTAGATATTACGATCACTACGATGTTTCATCCATTATTTTAAATAATAAATTAGGTATACAAAAGGTTAAAGTACATGAGCTACATGACATCTTTCGTACAGTGATTCATATCATTGCGTGCTAAAATATCGAATGTATTGATTAATAACCGTCATTTGCATATATATTTGCTCGTGCATGTATGTGCTGTGTATGTCCGTGTGTACGTGCATGTACCTAACCTAAAAATGGCAAATTTCACCACCAATTTGTGTTAGTGTGAAATTATCTTCCGAACAAATGAATTAACCTCTCACAGGTATCTTCAGTCGCTGTGCTCAGTAGCCGAAGAGAAGAATTCCACCATAATCTTTCCTCTGCCGATGGAGTTTATGTCAGCTTTTACTCATATGAAACATCAACAATGATCTATTTAGTTGTCTTTTTATTTTTGTTTGGATATTTCTAATTATTGTCGTGATATTTTAAATGTTTAGACTATTTGACAAATGCATTCATATCGCGAGGTCTTTTAATTTTATTAATATTAACTTTAAATGACGAAAGATTGCTCATTGAATTTGTTATAGCAAATATTTAATTATTATAAATAGACAACACAAGTATATATATATATATATATATATATATATATATATACATTTATGTGTATATGACAAATATTTTAAGTGTTTACGTATTGGACGAGTAATTTCAATAATTTGTTGTCACAAAGTTATGTTCATTGACTGATATACTAAAAACCAGTGAACTACCACTGACAAATTGTTGTACGTTTTTGATAATTTAACTCTGAATTTGACAAAAATAAAAATTTTAGGAGGGGTAGGGGTAGTCCCTAGACAAGCCCATGCTGGCTACTCATCTGATGTACTGCTATCACGAGATGATGTAATGCGATGTAATTGAATAAATACACGCATCCACACAAACAAACACACATACACATATATTATACATTAAAGGATAACGAATTTTGAAGAAAAGAACCTTGTAAAACTCCCTTTAAAATATTTAGTTTGATTTGGCTAAAAATTTCATCATTTTTATTATTGTTATTATTATTTCATCATGTTAACGTTGTCTTCACTCCCATTGGTCAGAATTTTAATGATTACAGGTATTTTTGTCGGTTCTAAAAATAGTCAACCAATTAGCGCTCACCACGTCCCAGCTGTTCATCCTCAATAAATTGATTGAGCTCAGCTGAGTTAGTCATTTTTATCGTCAAAGTTGTCGTTTTAATGGAGTGGCATTCGAGAATTTTCTAATTTCTCATATTTGATTGAGCTCTGGATTCATTCTGAATACAATTTCACCAGTTTTCACAAATATTAAATCATCTTTTTGATCATTAAATGCTCCGCCTGGCTTGATAAACAAAAGATTTTGCGATCTTTTAAAAATTTAAACTCGTATTTCATCATTTCTATTCTTTAGTATAGGATTCCGAAACATATGTTCGGCAAATAGCCAAGATGTCGGTACAGAAAACGATACAGCTGGTAGCTCGTCTGCCACCAAGCAACAACGTCATCAACATCGGCGGTGTGGACGCCATGACGAATCGGCAATACGTCATATCCCGGGTGGTCAGACCCTCCTTCGTTGTGGAGAACAGCATGGCCGCCCTACACCAGCAACAACTTCAAACTCATCATAAATCAGTTCTTCTCGACTCTGACGAGTCGTCGGACTATGAGTCCGTGTCGTCCGGTGGGGATGGAGTCAGGAAGAGGAAGAGGCTGACGAACTTGTCTCACGAGGAAAAAATTATGAGAAGGTTAGAAAGGTACTTAGTTCAGAGATTTAAAAATAGAATCAATTTTTTTCTGAATTGTTTTTATTTTATGACTTTGATTTACTAGGTTGTAGTTACTACATCATTTATAATTAACCATTGTATAATTAATTAAATAATAATATAATATTAAATATAGTATAATTTATTTATAATGTAACCTCATTTTTCATAGTTCACACGTCCCTACATACATACATACCCACAAAAACACAAACAAACAAACAAACACTCCCACCCATACTACAGAAAGCTGAAGAACCGAGTGGCAGCCCAAACAGCAAGAGACAGAAAGAAGCAGAGAATGACAGAGCTGGAGATTGCCATTGTGGCTCTTCAGGAGCAGAACAAACAGCTAGAAACTGAGAATTCAGCTCTCAAAAATTGCACTGAAGCTCTACTAAAAGAGAACAAGCAGCTCAAATTACAGCTGACTAAGAGAAATAGTAACAAAGACAAAGTTGGTGACATCACTGACGTCATAAATAACAACGCTTCCACTGATAACGTGGTTTGCAAGAGCGAAAATGTCGACGACTCAAATTCAAACGCCAAACACCATCACGTCATTCATGTAACCAAAAAACAGTTGCGCCCGTCAAACTCAATAGTTTCCACAAAAAATGTCAAAAAGTCTGCTACTACGAATGATAGTTATAACAATGACGATGATGGTACAAATGCCAGTACTACGAATGATTATACTACTACTATAAACACCACAAATGAAATTGAAATCAGCACATTACCAGAGTTACCTTCCAGTACAGACGACATCAAACTTGAGTACCTGATTGACGGAGTCAAAATGTACACCACGGCTTCAGAAGTCTCGCATGAAAATGACCTCATGTCGCAGTTGCCTTCTACTCCATCCAACGTTGGTGAAATCCAAGTGGCAGATGATGTTTCCCTCGATGAGGACGTTGATGTTGTCAGTGGTGGTGGTGAATGCCTCATCAGGGATGGAACGTTTGTGGTCAGCAGCAGCAGCAACAACAAGACTGATAGTCAGATCGTTAATGATGCAAGCGTCATTGGCACGAGTAACAAAAACGGAAAAATTGTAGTCATTTGTTGCACAAACAATAGCAGCAGCCATAACAACAACATTAACGATTCTCAGAACAACACATTATTCACATTAAACAACAATAGCAACATAACTTTGCTGCCGAAACTACCTCCAAAACAACTACAAATCATATCATCATCCTAAGCAACAACAACAACAACTCAGAAAAACTTACAATTCATGCCTAAGAACCGAGTAAATGTAAGGACAACAGAATCTTTATAACCATTAAAAAAAAGGGCCTGATTAACTGCCCCATGCACCGCAACGCACACCCACGGGTCTGCAGCCCCGTGTTGAACACCCCCGCAGGGGGAGTTGGTGTGTTGGTGCATGCTCACTTCAATCCTCCTCTCAACCATCTTCACCTTCAACAATCTCAGGTTGGTTATTTTTTCTGCTTCTCGCTGTGTATCTTTCTATATTTATTGCTTGTTGGTGGACGTGTTTGCTAACACGTCGGTGTGGTGTCTTTACTTGTTTTAAAATCTTCTCGTGAATAATTCTGATTATTTTTAAAAAGAATAGACTGTAATTTTACTTCTATTTATTTCATTCCTAGGTGGTTCTCAACATCGAGAGCCAACCAAAACAACAACAGCAGCAACAACAGCAGGGCAAAAAGAGAATGTTCATCATCACCAACAACAGCACCGTCACGACCACAAACAACAACAACAAGGTCGCGAAAGATCGCAGATCGCATGTCGCATCTGCAACAGCGCCGGCAGAAGCAACAGCAGCTGACACAGTGTCAAGAGAGGAGGCAGAAGCATTTGAAAATTCGCACCTCTCTACTGAAAAAGTGGTGGGGCCGTCGGTCGAAGAGCTGGAATCAATTAGGGAATTCATGACATTCGACGACGACAACCGGATGATGTACGATGGTGAAGGGACTTCCATAAGCTCACACAACAACACCAATGACATTAATAAATACAACACCAATGACACCAACAACAACTGCAATGATGATATTGAGAGTATACTGCTAGCTAGCTCCGACGTAGAGATGGTAAAACTGAGAGATGACATTTTACACCAAAACAGCAATGATATCGCTAATGAGGGTTTAAACTTTAAGGTTAAGAAAGAGGAGGCACTAGATTTTGAGGCTTGTTTCGATGAGTTTGAAGATTTTCTAAGTAACATTGATGTCGGCGGTGACAGTAACTCTAAAATGATATTCGATGACATTAATAAAGATGACAGCATTAATCCCAATCTTAACTCTAAATCTGTCTTCCATCTCTACCCACATCTGTCATCTTCAGCGACAGTCGACTCTGCCTCTATCCAAGACAACAACTTTACCACCGCTTCAACTTCTACTGCTTCTTCTACTGCTACTACTACTACTACTACTCATCATCATCATCATCAGCCACTCTCCCCTGACGACATAATGGACGATGTCAATTTTGACGCAGACTTATTCCTACAATACGAACCAATTAATAATAATAATAATAATAACAATAACAATAATTATAATAATATCAATAAAAATAATAATATCAATAAAAATAATAACATCTTTGACGGCTTCTCTTCCTCCATGGATTCTACATCATCATTACTATCACCTCCATCATCGTCATCACCATCCCTATCACCGCTGTATCATGATAACAATACGTCTTGGGCTAATGATACTCTATGTGATGATATATTTGGATATGATATACCTGTTTGGATATAAAATTTGTTTGTTTCTGGGTTTTATACATATATTTATATGTATATATATATATACAATGTGTATATATATTGTGTGTGATACATTCACATATGTATTGTATATATATGTATATCTATTCAGCGTTTTCTGGTGATATATATATTTATTTTTTTTTCAGTTAATTTGTTTTTGAGATATTTTTCGTTTTATTGTTTTTGTTCTTCTCTTCTCCGATTAACTAAACACGTTCATAGGTCAAAGGTTATGGTTCATTTTATGTGACTACATAGTAGACGTCCATAGTGTGTGCGTTTGTGTGCGTGCTTGTACGTGTTTGTGTGTACGTGTGTGTGGTGTTTGTGTAGACGTACAATCTTTTTCATTTTAGGTGAAATTTTTGAATTGGACGTTGAATCCTGTAATGTAATTTGTTTCTGGTTCATCATTACTAGTAACTAATGGTTTAAGTCAGCCAGAATTTGTATCATAATATGATTAATTATTTATTTTTGTCGTAATATGATTAATTATTTATTATTGTCATAATATGATTAATTATTTATTATTGTCATAATATAATTAAATAATTAAATGACTGTTTTAGTGGCATTCCTAGTTGAACGTTAATTGATATCGTTAATTGATGTTCAGTTTTTTTCTGAAGTGTTCTGAAATCTTTTGTCAATTATATCGTTGTAACATTATTGTAATATATGTGTTATTGATATGTGTGTATGTATAATTATATGTGTGTGTGTGTGTGTGAACATATATATGTATTGGTTACATTTGTGTATGTATAATTGCATGTGTGTGTGTGTGCTTGTCTGTGTGCGTGTGTGTATGTGTACATATATTTATTGGTTTGTTTCACGTTGTCTCGATATTTATTTCAGTTGATCATGAAGCTTATTTTTAAACTTACTCAGCATTCTAAAATAAAAATTTTGTAGAAAAATAAAATGAATGGCGCCAATAACACAATTGAACGTATCTGATTATAAAACTCGTAAAATTCTTATTGCATATTATTCAAACATACATAAGCATACGCTCACGCACACACAGATATATATCATTATATCCACACATATGTGTATCACTGTATCCAAACACATAAATGTATCGTTATACCCACACATATGTATCATTATATTTGATATTACTCATTGTTATCATCGTCATTATCACTCTCCTATCATTAATTGATATAGCCTATATTGTCACAAGTCTTTGTATGTAGATACCATAAACACCTTAGATAAGATTTAAGATATCTATGGCAGATACATACGTTTGATATATATCCTTTCACACATTAATCCCATCACACGATTCATCTATCCAATCCTTTCCTATAATTGTACATAGTTCGTATTGTATGGAATAAAGTCTGTTCAAAAGTGAGCTTCAGAGTTCTTTAATTTTGGAAAAAGAAAGAATTATTTTCAATGATAGACAATAATTTTATATTGAGAAACTGCGTTAATTACACACAAATCATACATATGTCCTTGATTAATCACGAATTAAAACGATCAATTAATTAATAATTTAATTGTGGCTAATTGAAACAATCAATAAATGTTGCTGTAACTTGAACTGATGATGTCTAAAAGTTTTGAAAAATTACAAGAAATGGATCTTAGTTAGCCATTTCATATTCGCTATTTTGGCTGTATTTCATACAGCCAAATTAGCGAATATGAAATGTCCAAATGGTTAAGAATGATGAATGATATTGTTTGTCAATCATCCAATCTGTCGAGTTTTTCTGGTAAAATTTAGACCAAAACACACACACACAAACACACACTTGTAATCATTCAGTTGAAAAATGAGTCATCATTAACCAATTAAAAATCTGAAAAATGTATCAATCAATTAGTCAATTAATCAATCAACCATTCAATCAATCAATCAATCAACAAGAGACTAAGCTAAACAAAAAATGTCAATCCTGACGAAATAACATATTTCTAAAATCGTTATTAGACATATTACCAGCACCACCACCACTACTACTACCACTACTACTACTACCAGTATTTACACCATTACTGTTTAGGTCACCAGTGTTATTTTTAGAATTTGCGGAATTTCCACTGGGGTTATTTATGGATTCCTTCCTCAAGTTTCTTGGCAACAGCTGCAACTGAGTTCTGGCAGTACCCCCACGACTAATTTTGGTAAAACAAATTAATTAATATGACGGTTATAATTAATAATAATAATTATTATTGTTATTATTATGAAGAATTAATATTACTAATGAGAAGAAAATCTAAAATGAAAACGATAACATAGACGATAGAAAACATTGAAAGAGAAAACAACATCAACAAAACAACAAAAATCAACATCAGCAATATTAACAGCATCAACAAAACAACATCAACAAAACAACACCACCAACAGAAAAACAACATCAGCGAAACAACAACAACATCAACAACAAAAGACACGACAAATAAACATCCCCACCATAGAAAAAGCAAAGTAAACAACTACAATAAACAACTACAACAACAAAAACATAGAAAAAGTAGCAAAATCATCCCAACAACAAAACATGAAAAACGAAAAAAAACCTCGTCTCTTTCTTTCCCCCACCAAGTGCTGGAACGAATGACGACGACGATGATTGCTGTTCACCTACCGTCTTGTTCCCTCCTTCAAGTGCAAGTGGACTATTCCTCTGAGGAGGGTTACTAAATGAAACGGCTATCGCTCGCCCGTCTAAGTTGTATCCGTCTAGTTTCATTAGGGCCTTGGCAGCAAGATTCTGTCCAGTCAGATAGAAGGGGAGGAGTTTATGAATATTAATTACGTGGATATTGACAAGTTCGTATGAATATTAATTAGCTGTGATATGAATACCAATTAACCATTCTAAGCTTATTAACAAATAAGCTATTAAAGATGAATACAGATGTAAAAAATTAACAGACATAACAAGCCATTCCATTATTAAATTAACATAATAAATTAACCCCAAAAATTAGCATGTAAAATTAACATAATATAAATATTAATGAACCTCATCAGCATATTCAACGAATGCCAGGCCTTTGGAATTACCGTTATGGTATGTAACTAGTCTAACGTCTTTCAACTGGCCGATCTAGTGATGAGGGGTTAATTAAGATTAATTCATACGTTCGTTCAGTTACTAATTCATTCATTCACCAATTCATTCATTCACCAATTTGTTCATTCATTCATTCACCAATTCATTCACCCATTCATTCATTCACTTACGGGTTCAAAGAGTGCAACGAGTGTTTCCTTGGTTGTTTCAAACGATAGATTCTTAATGAACAGTTTGTTCTTCTCTAAACTTGTACTGAACTGTTGGATGAATGGATGAATAAATGAATGAATGAATAAATGGATGAATGAATGAAAAGATGACCTGACAAATCAATAAAATGGACGAATTAATGACCAACCAATATATAAGCCAACCAATCAAAAACACACTAAGCATGTCAGAGAGGAAACGAAACAACCAATCAACAACCAGCCAAGCAATCAACCAACCAATAATAATCACCCAAGCAATCAATCAACCAATAATAATCAGCCAAGCAACCAATCAACCAATTAGAAAACGGACCTTCAGTTTAGGTTCACTCGGTTTGGCACCGGTTTTTCTACATTTGGATACGTACATGGGTCTTCCATTGATTGGACTTCTATCTAATTTCAACGCTTCCCTGGCTAATGCCTG